TTTCCCTGGCCACCTAACTTTGGGCATCAGAGCTTTCTTCCCCCCTAGAAGAAGATTCAAGGAGGGACCCTGGAAAAAGATCCCACGAGGGATTTCTTCCCCTCAACCATCCCCTATATTTTGGGGAATGCTCCACTGCCCCTAGACCATCCCCTATATGTTGGGGAATGCTCCACTGCCCCTACCCCTTGGGATGAGTCATGAAGTCTTTTTTAGGACTTTATGTCAATTCAATGACACTCTTACAATTACCCATTTTCAAATTTAAAGGACAAGAATAACTATGACCTCCCTGTATAAAAAAATAAAGGTTTTTTTACGTTATACTACTTGTGGCGTATACCTTTAAAGTCTTCAACATTTTTGGACACTTAAATGATCTTGAATTGTAATACAAAATTTTTCAAACATAAGCATTTTTTTTCATTTAGAGGGGTGGAATGGATATTTCTTTAAGACAAAAGTGGTATTCTATTAATAGTTAAAAAATAATTATTGTGTCATGTGGGTGATGTTACATACTATATCGGTAATGTCATTGTCCACAATTATTAATAAATACTTTTGTTTCTATTAGAAATTTCTATTTTACCTTTAAAAATTACTTGAAATACCCCCAACAAAAAGTTGCAATAGTATAGGATAAGGGTATCTAAGTGTTCAAAATGTTGACGACTTTAAGGGTATATAGGACATGTGGTGTAGCATAACAAAACCCAAAGATAAATGGTCTCTTTGTAGACTATCCCAAAAAATAAAGCCTTGACAATAAATTGATTCGGAAAAATACTTAGGATAACTCTAAAATATATTTCACTATTAATTATGAAATTTATAGCTCAAAAAAAAATGATGCAAGTAATGTGGATCTACAAACACTTCTAAATGGATGGTCTAGATAATGCATTACATTACATAATATTCTTAAGGCTTTAAATCCTAGTTTTTTTTAGAACTAGAATAATCTAGGTCGAGATGGTCGATTTTTCAAAACTTGAACTATAATTTTT